TCACCAGGAATGAGTACAAGAACAGAGAGAGAGAGAGAGAGAGAGAGAGAAGTCTGCAGAACAGCGCGTATTGTTTTAGATAGAGCCAGTGTCGCATGAGGATTTCCGAAGATATGACTTATCGTCATTCCAGACACAGGATAAAAGTTCTTGGCCTTCACTGAGTTAATCAGATCTCTGCTATCTCAGGATGGCAGAGGCCATTGAAAACGACAAGACATTCTGTGGTACGGATGAGCTACTATCAGCTTTTGTAAAGATGGACTATGCTCCATGGGAGGTAGTTTCCAATTCATCGCATAAAAGAAACTAATCATCATCTCGTTCGGCGCTAAACAACCCACGAATCTATCTCGTATGATTTTCGTTCTTAACGTTACGATGGGTCCAAAACGTGCAAAGGCTTGCATGTTTAATGATGCTGTTACAGAGCAAGCAACATTTCTAATCAAATGAATAACAGCCTCTGTCGGCCTTGTAGCAAAATAAATGTCAGAGACTGTGAATGGTCTACAGCAGTGGTATTCAACCTGGGGTACGCGAAGACATCTTAGGGGGTTCGTGAAATTTTTAAAAAATATATATTATTTTATGAATATACTGAATAATCAGTAATGTAATTTATTTAATTTATTTTAGATGTAGATTGTATATTATGTATAACTTGAATTATACACCAACAACTTTGGGGGTACAAAGTTAAAGAGAAATTATATCTGGGGGTACGCGAACATAAAAGGTTGAATACCATTGCCCTATACTACACAGCGCAAGAACCCAGAAGACAGAAATCTTCAACTTTTCATCTGTTTGGTGTCTAATTGGGAGTTGACTGTGAATGACGAATAGGCAAGAGTGAGGATGGAAGCTGTTGCGACCTATTTTAAGGTATTATTCCAGTAGTTCTTTAATTCATTAAGGAAAGCGGCCAATATTAAAATCCGCAATCTCCCTAGTACGAAACAGTAGTGCCACCAGCTCGACCTGAAGTTTGGTCATAATTTTTGTTTCTAAAACGTTAGGGACATTTTTTAAAGGAACGGGATCTGAACCAGTAACCGTTCCCATGTAATTCCAGCAGCCCTGATCTTGGACTGATGAACGCAGGCGTCATGAAAATATGATAGGCTGTTTTAGCGAACTGTGTAGTTTCAAAGTCTCGACTGACGGCGTTGGATTAATGCGTGATCTGTAAGATACGAGGTGCGATCAGAAAGTTTCAAGACTGCGCGTATAAAAACCCGTACACTTATCTCAGGTATTAAATTCATCCATCACCCTCGAAGTAGTTCCCCTGGGAGTGAACACAACGATCCCAGCGCCGCTGCCAAGCCTGGAAGCATCCCTGGAAATCTTTCTTTGTCAGCCTGTCAAGCACCATCTGCGATTCTGCCTGAATCTCTCCTATCGTCTCAAATCTCCTTCCCTTTAGCTGAATTTTCAACTTTGGGAAGAGGAAGAAGTCACACAGAGCTTAGAAAGGAAGTTGGGGTCGGTTCTTGCAAGATCTTTAAACTCCTGACAAACGAGAAGTCGATTCTGCTTCTAGTCCTCTGACAGGATGCGTCGCATGTGGAGTTCATCCTTTAGAATCAGCTGACAGGTCCCATAGCCTATCCCAACAATGTCGCACAAATCGTTGATGGTACGACGTCGATCTTCGTAACATTTTCGGGCGTTGTGCTCGAAGATGGTCGTCCAGAACGCTCGTCATCATCGACAGAGGTTCGGCCATTTTTAAAACGTGAATGCCACACAAAAGTTTGCGGACTCCCCAAATGCTTGCTTTAGCATTTCATAGGTTTCCGTAGCCGTTTTGGCGAGTCTTTGGCAAAATTTGATGCACACGCCATTCCGAAATCGCAGGAGGGTCGGTGTAATGCACTACCAAAACGCCCGTAACAAAGAAACAAGAGACGCCCCGGTCACTTTGCCTTGAGACCGCAGGTTATTGTTTCAGGACGTTCGTCTGCGTGCAGGCGTATGTGTGTACGCCCTGTTCGCCGCACCAAATTTCAGAAAAATGAATATAAACCTCTGACCACTGCAGTTTACATAACGACGCGCTGATTCGGACTTCAAGTGGTCGTTCCCATTATACGTATCTCTTCACCAAAGCCTTAATATCATTTGCATCCGCTGTCCGAGATATGAAGTATTTGAGGGTCTCACGATGGGGAACAGCTGTCTTCTGCGGGGTGTAGTTTGGTAAACTTCTACCAGATTATACGGCGCTACAACTCAGAAGACGGCCATCTTGAGTTGGGCGTATATTTACCAAGTGGCGTCATGGGGTTAAGCTAGTTAAATGTTTGGAACAAAATCGTTCCTTAGAAGCTGACCGTCGCTTATCGTTCCAGCAAGGACGTCTGAAACGTCGGTAAACTTCTAGCAGAGTACAGAAGACAGCCATCTTCAAACTCACTGCCATGAAAACCCCAAATCTTTCATTTCCAAATTATTTAATGGAAATATAAAACTCCGATCTGCAAACAGATATTTGACATACGTTTGAAGTTTAATGTTTGTTAACATTGGGGCATTAGGGGACCACACATCATGTGTAATTTTATTAACTTAGCGGACGAATAAAACATCAAAGGGGACCGCATGGCGCCCTCTGGCAGTGACTTTGACAACCCTGCTTTAGGGTGAGACCAAGTTTGACGCAAATAATAGGCAAAATTGTACTTTATGTGCAATTCAAGGAGAAAACATTCTGAACTGAGCGGTTGCAAGCTGGTCTTTGTAAGATTTGAGGTTCTCACAGCGGCGAGTATGAAGATTTCTGTCTTCTGGGTTGTTGCGCTGTGGAGTCTGGTCGATGTTTACCAACGTTTCAGAGGACATACTGCCTCCGTCATCAGAGTATGAAGATTTCTGCCTTCTGGTTTGTTGCGCTGTGTAGTCTGGTCTATGTTAACCAACGTTTTAGAGGTCATACTGCCTCCGTCATCAGAGAATGAAGATTTCTGTCTTCTGGGTTGTTGCGCTGTGGAGTCTGGTCGATGTTTACCAACGTTTCAGAGGACATACTGCCTCCGTCATCAGAGTATGAAGATTTCTGCCTTCTGGTTTGTTGCGCTGTGTAGTCTGGTCTATGTTAACCAACGTTTTAGAGGTCATACTGCCTCCGTCATCAGAGAATGAAGATTTCTGTCTTCTGGGTTGTTGCGCTGTGGAGTCTGGTCGATGTTTACCAACGTTTCAGAGGACATACTGCCTCCGTCATCAGAGTATGAAGATTTCTGCCTTCTGGTTTGTTGCGCTGTGTAGTCTGGTCTATGTTAACCAACGTTTTAGAGGTCATACTGCCTCCGTCATCAGAGAATGAAGATTTCTGTCTTCTGGGTTGTTGCGCTGTGGAGTCTGGTCGATGTTTACCAACGTTTCAGAGGACATACTGCCTCCGTCATCAGAGTATGAAGATTTCTGCCTTCTGGTTTGTTGCGCTGTGTAGTCTGGTCTATGTTAACCAACGTTTTAGAGGTCATACTGCCTCCGTCATCAGAGAATGAAGATTTCTGTCTTCTGGGTTGTTGCGCTGTGGAGTCTGGTCGATGTTTACCAACGTTTCAGAGGACATACTGCCTCCGTCATCAGAGTATGAAGATTTCTGCCTTCTGGTTTGTTGCGCTGTGTAGTCTGGTCTATGTTAACCAACGTTTTAGAGGTCATACTGCCTCCGTCATCAGAGAATGAAGATTTCTGTCTTCTGGGTTGTTGCGCTGTGGAGTCTGGTCGATGTTTACCAACGTTTCAGAGGACATACTGCCTCCGTCATCAGAGTATGAAGATTTCTGCCTTCTGGTTTGTTGCGCTGTGTAGTCTGGTCTATGTTAACCAACGTTTTAGAGGTCATACTGCCTCCGTCATCAGAGAATGAAGATTTCTGTCTTCTGGGTTGTTGCGCTGTGGAGTCTGGTCGATGTTTACCAACGTTTCAGAGGACATACTGCCTCCGTCATCAGAGTATGAAGATTTCTGCCTTCTGGTTTGTTGCGCTGTGTAGTCTGGTCTATGTTAACCAACGTTTTAGAGGTCATACTGCCTCCGTCATCAGAGAATGAAGATTTCTGTCTTCTGGGTTGTTGCGCTGTGGAGTCTGGTCGATGTTTACCAACGTTTCAGAGGACATACTGCCTCCGTCATCAGAGTATGAAGATTTCTGCCTTCTGGTTTGTTGCGCTGTGTAGTCTGGTCTATGTTAACCAACGTTTTAGAGGTCATACTGCCTCCGTCATCAGAGAATGAAGATTTCTGTCTTCTGGGTTGTTGCGCTGTGGAGTCTGGTCGATGTTTACCAACGTTTCAGAGGACATACTGCCTCCGTCATCAGAGTATGAAGATTTCTGTCTTCTGGGTTGTTGCGCTGTGTAGTCTGGTCGATGTTAACCAACGTTTTAGAGGCCATGCTGCCTCCGTCATCAGAGCGACAATTTTCATAGTTCAGACAAAATTTGACCATTTCGCTTATATTTGTTTGAGTTATTGCGAGACGAACTCGTGTAGTTGCGTGGTTTCGTGTAACACATTGTTCTGCTGTTCATTTCATGTTCACGGAGTCATAGTTTCGACTTTTACCATGTGGAAAATAGTGTCCTTGCCTTTTCAATTTTGTCAGAACAGGTAGTACAGAGATTTATATACCACTTCAAACGCTCAGGAGGGTGTCAGCATTGTTTTTCTCCCCTCTGAAGGATCGTGGAGTCGGGTATAGTGTAGGTCTACTCCAGCTTGCAGATAAACATTTTCGTCATTCCGTTTACTGACACTTGTAGATTGAAGGCCCATAGGAGTTTGTTGATGCGACCGGCATGGGAGGAGATACAGTGAGAGAAACTGCCTTAGACGATAGAATTGCATGGCCTCCTCCTTGAACATTGGACTCGTATTAGCACCGTTCTGTGGCATCTCTTTTTTGGGATGAAGGTGTTGGTGCATTATAAAGGTTTAGAACACCAACTTAAAAATGTCTGGTTTGTTTTTGTTGTTTTCAGGGTTAGGGACCAGTCCGGAAGTAGGCGTGCCGGACATGACTGTCATTTCGGACATCGATGAATTGGGTATCAACAGGAATCTTCTAGTTCGTTACGACCGGGACCAGATCTATGTATCCTTTACTCAGACTCCTCTTTTGCAGTAAGTACCAGACGCTTTGAGATGGTTTTTAAATTATGAACATGTGATTGGAAGTGAACTTCTAACTTAAAGTGACATCTGTGCACAAACACTGTTATTCAGTTCAGAATTTTTATTTTTTCTTGTATCCTGTCTAAAGACTTAGATTGTTTACTGTCGTACTTGTTTTATATGGATCTTTCTCACACGAAGGGAAGAACACCACAGATTGAGGGAGTCGAGAAAAAGTTTGTGAGATTATTTGGACGTAAGAGATATGAGGAAATTATGGAGAAGAGAGTTTCGTAATTTGTTCTCCTCAAATATCGTAAGGATTATCCAGTCAGTTAGGGTAAGATGTATGAAAACTAAATACAAAATTTAAATAATAAAATCCGAGGAAAATATTTTACATTGGGAACCTAAGCATCGATAAACAGATAATATTAAAGAAAGTGGATAAATGAAGTGTTATGGGATTGCGTGGGTAGATTATTCTGGCATTTGTGGTCTGTTTTGAACATAGTAATGGACATTTCGAGTTCCATAAAGGCACGAAATTTCTTGAAAAGCATTGACGAATTGATGTTTGAGATGGTGAAATATTTTCTTTGCGGTACGGACAATTAAATATCATTTCTTCGAGCTTCGGTTTGAAGGGGCTAACAATAACACAGAACACTTTGATTTTACGTAAAAAGAAAATAAATACGTTCGTAACAATAAATGGCTCTGAAATTATCCAAAATGGAACTTACGTGCTAAATCGTTGTTAACACTTTGTTTTTCATTATTTACGAATTTCAGATAGGTATAAGTGTCTTTGTTGTTGGGGCTAGAACGACTTGGTTGTACTCGTAGGTCATTCTATGTTCTGTTGTGTCGGTAAATACGCAGACTGCATTTCCCTCCTCAGATATAAAGCAGTATTAATAATAATATCGTTGTCCAAAGATGATTAACGTGAAGTGAGAGCCATTACTGTCTCACTAAACGACCTGATGATCAGCCAAACTAATTTAATGATAGTAATCTTATAATCCCTTCGAATTACAAAGAAAGCTAATCCTGTTATGGGCAATGTAATTACTTGGAGGGAAATTAATTTTCCTTGAGTTCCTTTTTTACCGTGAAGCGCTGTGGAAGGGATTTGTCGATAATATAACTTTATATAGGCGAACCGAGACCTAGACCTTCCGACTAAAGAACCCCCACATTTATGACTATATTTTTTTATTCCACGAGAACCCATCAATCTATGATCGCTGCTCGTAATTACGACGGTGAAAGAATTTCATGTACAATGGAACTTCGTTTGCGCACAGTAACGAAACGTTAGAATTTTTAAATGTAATTTCTGTGCGTTATTTATTTCTATGCTTGTCTTGAGTTAGTAAATGTTTGTAAGGGTTTCGTCCATTCCTGTGGCAAATTAATGTATTTTCAGGGTATAAATTTGGTTTCCAGGAAACGAACAGCTGTTTAAAACACTGCGCTTTTGGGAAATTAGGGTTCGTCTGGCCTGATCTCCAACTTTACCTAGTACGGGGGTTAAAAATGTGAAAGGGCTAAGTCTAGTCCCCTATATGCGAGGTTACGTTGAAGCCCTGAAAAAATTTTACCTTTGCAATAATGAAATATTTCGGAACTTATTTTATATCCTTAAGAAACTTGCTTAAAAGTTAAAGAGAAAATAGACTTGTGTAAATTCCCCTTACTTTACATTCCCGCGAAGACCGCTTGCTTTCTGCTTGAAGGAATCATCGACCCAGAGAGTACGATTTGCATATCCCTAGGCTGGACAGTGTTTATTTAACACGGGAGGTAATTATATTCTAGCTTTATGTTATATTTATTACGATTTTTGTCCGTCTAATCACAATTCATACTTAAATTTACAATTAAGATAATTAAAATATCATTTTATGTTCCTCATCGAACAATCGATGTATCTACACTCTCATCTTTGGCCGATGTAGAACATAAAAAAACATTCACTCCAAAACATTCACTCCAAAACATTCACTCCAAAACATTCACTCCAAAACATTCACTCCAAAACATTCACTCCAAAACATTCACTCCAAAACATTCACTCCAAAACATTCACTCCAATATAAAAATGAATCTGGAAGTGAACATCACCAAAAAGTTGCATATCAGAAATTGTAATTAAGTTTTAAGTTTATAATTTTAACTTTTACACCTGAAGATGGTTTATATAGAAACCGAAACATGTTGTGAAAAGATGTTCCAATTGTAAATAGATTGTTCGATGAGGAACATAAAATGATATTTTAGTTATCATAATTGTAAATTTTAAATTTGAATTGTGATTAGACGGACAAAAACCGAATAATTAATTAAATTTCACAATATGACGCAACTATATCATCTTATTTATTACGACGTTATGACAGCAAGAGGACCGTTCAGAGAAGCCTTATAGATGTAAAGAAATTTTCATTTGAATACGCCTCAGGCTTACTTCAGTTAATAAAATGCATACGGAATTAACTACGTGGGGTTCGATCCCAGATGCTAACAAGGGCATTTAGCAAAACGCTCCGGCCTCTGTGATGGGAAAAGAATTTTACGTAGTGTCCAGAGAGTGGTGGAGCTGGAGTCGACCTCCATTCGTCAAGCCATTTTATTGATTTAACTCTCCTCTGTCATTTTATTAGTTGTTGAAACCAGGTGCCAGAACAACGCGAACTTCCCTCCATTCGAAATTAAAGCATATGAACGGTAGGTCTTATCCTGTAGAGACTCTTTTATGTTGTGCACCCCTTGTCATAAAAACGCAGGTTAGAGAATGCTGTTTCGTTGTGAAATAAGAAACGATTTTGTCAAGGCTTTTGTTCGTTGTCATTGCCGTTGAGAATTTCAACGACCTCTTCTTCTGAGGGCCTTGGAGCTGTCATTAAAAAGATTTGCAACAAAAGGGGACCCCCAGAGATCCTCTGAGGAATGTCTGCATCAACTTCCTTCCTGCTTGTTTATAGTTCTGGGTTCAATAAAACCCATCACTGGCCAAATGTTCCTCCCTACAGCCCAATAAAATTGGAAGGTTTCTGTTAAAACATGTAATGCATCACAGACAAATGTTTGTAGAGTTATTGGGGTTTGTCAGTATATTCTGTAGTGGACTGACGAATTATTGTGTTGGCAATTTTATTTTTTAATCGTTTCGGAAGAACTTATCGCTTCCATCTTCAGGGCACGATATCACATTACATCACACCACAGCAGACCATGATAACATCAAATTTCGTGCAACCATTGATTACCTAAACACTGTAACGCGCAGAACTAGTTTCTGGGAGTCCGTGGTTCAGATCTTGGCCACGCCATGGCCGAAAGGTTTCTCACTGAAGTTTCGTGCCAGACCAGCATCAGCACATTTGAATCTGTCATGGCCTCTTTCCCGACACAAGTCCGTGTTCATCACGCCTCTAAATTCAACGTCGTTGTATCTAACAACTGGGGTTTTTGGTGTGGAGAAGTTGGTAAAAGTCGAGCGTTGTTTCTGCTTCTTATCGCCGAAGAAAGATCCCGGAGCAGGAAATACGCGTAGTGCCGAGATAAGCTGGACTGTGGGTTCCTTTTAGTTCAGTAAACAGGAACATTGTGGCGACGCGCACGCTGGATAAGATCAGTGCAAAGTTGGAGTACACAAGATTGAAAAGTAACGTTCCTTAGGCTGTGGATACTTTTATTCTTCCGGTATCATCACAAGCTTACGAAGTTGTGCAAAGGGAGTATTAAGGGCTAAATTGTGTCGCCGTGAAGGTATATTTACATTCACGCTTAGCCTCTACGATAGATGGACATGGGTCATCCATGACCTTCAGGTCCCGAACGTATTTGAACTCTATCCTTTCGCTTGGTTTTGTAACACCCCGTGGTGGTTTGAAGTCGAGGGCTGGCTTTTGTGGTAGCGTTTTCGTGGTTTTACTCAGTTCCATATACAACTGCGGGATTGTATCTTGAGATAAGTAGGATTTGAGGTTCTCGTGGCTGTGAATACGAATATGGCTGTCTTCTAGGTCAGTGGTATTCAACCTTTTATGTTCGCGTACCCCCAGATATAATTTTTCTTCAACTTTGTACCCCCAAAGTTGTTGGTTTATAATTCAAGTTATACATAGTATATAATATACATCTAATATAAATTAAATAAATTGCATTACTGATTATTCAGTGTTTATCATAAAATAATATATATTTTTTAAAATTTCACGTACCCCCTAAGATGTCTTCGCGTACCCCCAGATATAATTTTTCTTCAATTTTGTACCCCCAAAGTTGTTGGTGTATAATTCAAATTATACATAGTATATAATCTACATCTAAAATAAATTAAATAAATTACATTACTGATTATTCAGTGTCTATCATAAAATAATATTTTTTTTAATTTCACGTACCCCCTAAGATGTCTTCGCGTACCCCCGGGGTTACGCGTACCCCAGGTTGAATACCACTGTTCTAGGTTGTAGCGTCATGTAGTCCGGTGGAAGTTTAGTAACGTTTCAGAGGGTCACGCTGCCTCCACCAACAGGGCGACAATAGCCATGATATGGAACATTTTTGGTCCAATTTCTACCAGGATTTCCGAATTAGGATGATAGTCTTTTATTATTCCGCAAATAAAGTGTTAATTTAGAATCAGTTTAAGCAACTTGTAACAAAAAATATGCAAGACATTAAAAATAACGTGACGTTCGGTTGGTCTGTAATCCTTATTTAACTTTGCTGTGGTTTTCTTGGTTCATGGTTAGTGACTGTTCACGTCTGGCGTTACTATAATGAGCTACAAATTTTTGGTCAGACCTGTAGCGTCTCGTTCCAACTGACTGAGATCTTCCTTGTAACCTCGTCTTGATTTGCACAACTAACATACTTAATTAAATGACGTGAGTATTTATTTCGTTCTACAAGAATATAAAAATGTTTCTGCGACGACGTGGGAATCTTGAGACCTTCCTG